TTTTTTTATATTGCTTAGGTGGGTGGACGAGCTCACAGCCCACCTGGTGTTAAGTGGTTACTGGAGCCCATAGACATCTACAACATAAATGCGCCACCCACCTTGAGATATAAGTTGTAAGGTCTCAGTATAGTTGCAGCTGTAATAGTTCGCCAAATATTATCGCGTTATGCTCGTTAGGCCTCGGAAGAGATGGCGAAAGGTCGTGAGATGCGTCAATTCTGCCCCCTACCTTACGATCATGACCACTCAATCAAGAGATAAACAAAAAATAAGAGATTAATTACCACTATACGATGCACATTTTGGTGATAGGGCGTATTTTTAAACGGATTAGATGAGTCAGTCAAAACGAATATTGCAAAGTATTCGAAAAAAAATAACCACAATAAAAAACACAATACAAAAATAACCACAATAAAAAAATTATATTAATTATTTTTACGGCTTGCGAAAACCAAAAAAAAAGAGATACATCATAAAACAAGTGCAATTTTAATTATAATAACCTACATACAACCATACAACCAATAACCAATGTACCTATACCACCAATGTATACCAAACCGCTCACGCCAATGATATTTTGATTAATGTCACGATAAATTACTTCAAATTACGAGTCACTTATGTTACTTAAATGGTGATTTTATTCATTAATCTAGCGACCACGCGATGTGTGTATTATTTCGGTTGCCTTACGTAGAAAGTATTGGGCATTTAATTGGCCAAATGTGAAATTAGCATTTTTCTCCTATATAAATTTTACACGAGAATATTGTATTTAGCCCACTGAGTTTCTCGCCGGATCTTCTCAGTGGGTCGCGTTTCTGGTGGTAGATTCTGCGAAGCACTGCTCTTGCTGAGGCCAGTGTTAGCAAAATTCCCGGTTTGAGCCCCGTGAGATCACCTACACGTCAAGGAGAAGCTGAAATAGCCTCTCAAGGCTATCAGCATAGACAGGAAAAATAATTGTATTTATCAAAATGAAATCAAAAAACTAGAGGATTCAAAGTGGTCGTGCTAAGAAATCTTCAAAATTTCAATGTAATATATTACTTTGGATTTAAGAGTCAGCATTAACATAACCTTTTGTTATTTAGAAGATTAACAAACAGCATGTCGAAAATCTTCCACTTAGATCGACTGCCCAGATATTATTGTTAAGAAGTTGTAGAAATGAAAAATTATTTTAAAAATGTCGTTAGCGCGATTCGAGCATCTGTCAAACATTTTCTATTCTATGATAGTGACCGGATATATTAGTAGATTTTTGCCACTTTGATTAGCGTTAGCTTTATTACCTAAGGAAACATTCAATTAAATTTAAAGCTTCGAAAATTCCTTAACTTACGCAATTCCAGGGGTTTTTAACAAAATATTATCTAATTACTCACCGGAACAGATGATCTCGTCGTATCACGCCGCATCACTTAGAGAGAAGGGCTTAGGGCAGGAATGGATAAGGATTGGTAAGATAATGCAAATGGTTAGCGTAGATCGTCATATATGCGGGTGCCGTCCCGTTCGAGAAGCCAGACCAAGTGACAGATGTCAAATCGCGAAGGCACCGTCAAATCGCGACCCGTGTTGCCGTGGTAAAATTCAATACCCACGCATTGGCTTCGAACGTTTCTTTATAGTAGATGGAGGAAGCTCACAATCCATCTTGAGACATGAGGTCGAAATCTCAATTATATTGAATAACAACTTTCCTACCCTTAAATGGGAATTCAAGATCACATGGTTGCAAAAAATTGGCAATTGTCAGGATGACAGTAATACCTAAGTCCTTCTCTTGAAAGATTACTTAAAATACCCCTACAGACACAACCAACTGAGTTTTTCGCTGGATCTTCTCAGTGGGTCGCGATATCGATTCGATGGTAGAATCTGCGAAACACTGCTCTTGCTCGGCCTAGTGTCAGCAAATTCTCTCAGATTGAGCCCGTGAGATCGCCTACTAGTCCGTAGGAACCAAAATAGCCCATTGAAGCTGCCGGTGATAAGATTGGGTAAAAAAAACTGAAATTAAATAAAAGAATTACCATCTCTAATGACTACAACCGCTAAATATTCATTATCGACGATACTGAGTCTAGGGCGTCTTGTGAGCTCACACAGGTAGGTACCACCACTCTGTCTATTTCTGCCACGAAGTAGTAATACGTTTCGGCTTGAAGGTTGAGGCAGTCGTACTACAGAACAGAGAATTACAGCTCACATCTCAAAATGAGTGGTGTTATTTACGTCGTTGATATCTATAGGCTCCAATAATCACTTAAGACCAGGTGGGCCGTGAACTCGTTCACACGTATAAGCAAGAAAAATATGCCACTTAAGCAAAAGGCTACAAAATAGTAATGCCTAACAATTGGTATAGTCTAGCTAGCTGGGTCTAGTCTAGCTAGCTGGGTCTAGTCTAACTAGCTGGGTCTAGTCTAGCGTGCTGGGTCTAGTCTAGCTGTCCAAAATGGAACACCTCGTTTAGAAATCCTGTTGGACCTTGGTTATCCGCTAAATATCCTTAAATGGACCTTACATCAGCTCTGCTTTATGGTCATAAAGGATAACATACCCAAGAGATTATAAAATAGCATTAACACTATACTACATAATTATATTCCTTAATCATCCGATAAGTACAACACAGTTAATTTATTTCCTGAAATGATTCTTGTTCTATTGATGGTTGTCTGAAAGAGATTCCTTTTAGCGATAAGACCGCCCATTCTACTTTTGTATTAAATGTTTTGCATTTGATGGTGTACAATACAGTATAGGTAGGTACTTTCCCTCTCTCTCTTTCATTATACTCTTTATGATACACAAATCGAATTGTATTTTAATATTCACACGTAACATGCCGTTTACAAATCAGCATGAGTCACTGGGTCCAGCCAAGCGAATCATGTTTGTTCGACAGTAACAAAATGAAAAATAGCTATCTATATATTAATACGTGAAGCAAAAACTTTGTATACCTATTTACGAAAATTGCGCGGACGGAGGAGTATGAAATTTTGCACACTTATAGAGAATATAGAGAAGAAGTGCACAACGCTAATATTTTTTTATAATAATGCATAAAAGATACATTAAATCAATAAAGAAAACATTACACACACTACATACCAGGTATTTGACGCACACACGCATGCACACTATTTATTGTCAAACTTTTGTTCTTGGCGTCTGTTGTCAAATTGAGAATAGATTAAATATTGTTTGTCTTTGTTAATATTTTTTACAGCGTAGTCTTGGCGAAATTTGTGATTATAGAAGTATAAAATACAATCATAATAGTGTACAAACTTACAATTCCAATTAATTATAGTCGAATTTCGACTACTGCGGGCCCTCTAGTCTGTATTATTATTTTCACGTCCGCAAGTAGGTACGACGTTGGTAAATGATTTTATATGAGATTAACCAAAGTCGTAAACAAGTAGTAACCAAGTAGTTAGTTACAGATAGATTTGACGAAACCAATGATATAGATAGCACGAACGCAATTTTAGGGAGTTCTTTAAGTGGTGATCAATTTTGTTATAAAATATCGACATACGTCATCAACTCAGTAACTATACTGAGACCTTAGAACTTATATCTCAAGGTGGGTGGCGCATTTACGTTGTAGATGTCTATGGGCTCGAGTGACCACTTAACACCAGGTGGGCTGTGAGCTCGTCCACCCATCTAAGCAATAAAAAAAGTTTTGACATTTGCATCGAGAACATTCGACAGCATAAGTTAAATAGGCGTATTTTAATACGTCACTTTTACTCTTATCTATTGTATACCAATTTGTTTAGATTTTTTTTTATAAAGGTTCGGCCCTGCTGCACCAATTTTAAGTGCAATTTGGTAAAAGGAGAATTCTTGAAAAAAATTAGTGTCGTTTAATTAGTAAACTTGAAGTTGGATATCCTATATTAATATATTTGTATTACACGGATTGTTAAGGACACCGGTTTTACTCTTAGGTATATCTATATTATGACTACGAGAAACCATTTAGTAGATAGAATCATGAATTATAAAGTGAAACATTTGACGTATATGAATCAGTGTCCGGTAATATGTATGAGCAGACAGTGACGAGTAATAATTGGCAAGTTTCCTGCGTTCCATTTTACCGACAGTGAGAGAGTAAGGCTCGCGTTTTCTCGGACGTGTCCTAATTTCCGTGCGACCTTCGTGCGACTCAGGGCGCTCTAGCCATGCGACGCAGCTCGGTCTCTAATGCAAATCGCTTTTCAACCGAACCTCGTAAATATTCAAAGCGTGGAAAAAAACAACAATCTCTCGATTAAGAGTTTCTTTTGTATCAACTCAAAGAAACCTATGTTTTCTAGAATGCTTTTTTTAAACATGAAACGTTTGATAAGCTGTAAATAAAGCGGTAGGTGTACATATTAAAGTATATGGTGCGTAGGAGGCGTCACATGTGTAGGTACCGAAGTAATGTGACACATGTGTGTAGGGGGGGTGAGCAGGGAGTGCGGGCGAGCGGCGGCGCGTGTGTGTGCGGGCGGGGCGGGGCCGGGGGCGGACCCACTCCGACGCGGCCACCGCCCGCCGACCGCACGCCGGCACCGCACTCCCGCACTCGCGCGACACCGCCGCTCCGTGTGCTCGTCTCTATGCCTCACTCCGCGACCGCGACCCACCCGTGATACACGTACGCGCCGACCTCGTTCCCGTACCCTCGCACGATCTCGTGTATTAATCTTCCCGAACGTACCGTGCAGTGACTTAACTTTCAGTGACAGTGGTGAGCTTTCGAGGAACCAAATTATTTTTTTGGAAAAATAGTGTGAACTCAGAACGAAAGATACGATGCTAAAATTGCGGTCCGGCGGGAAGGCGAATCTTTGAGCGACGAAAGGGTTGGAGCGCGGGGTGTTCAGCGGGCGGAGGGCGGCGCGAGGACGCGCACGCGCCCGCCGGCACACACCGCCGACAGTTCGGCACACGCGTTGACAACGGCGCGAGCGATGGACGACAAGCCGACGCCAGTTGTAGGCGAGGAGCACTACAGCCTGCGCTGGAACAATCACCAGGCGCACCTGCTGCGCTCCTTCGAAGCTCTGCTGCACGCCGAGACGCTGGTCGACGTCACTCTAGTTTGTGCGGAACGTCGCGTTCGCGCCCACAAAGTACTTTTGGGTGCATGCAGCCCGCTTTTCCGTCGAATATTCAGCGAGAATCCGTGCAAGCACCCCGTGATCGTGTTGAAGGATTTTCAAGGATGGGAAGTGCAGGCGGTAGTAGACTTCATGTACCGTGGAGAAGTGTCGGTCGCACAGGAACAACTGGGCACCGTGATCCGAGCGGGAGAATCGCTGCAAGTACGCGGCCTAGCAGATCAGGACCGCGAAGAACAGGCGCGTTCGCCTCCAGCGACGCCGCTGGCACGTAGCCCCGTCAGAGCTACACCGCCGGCACCATCGCCGCCAGTCAGCCCGACCAGCCCCCAGCCACGCAGAAAGCAAGCGCGACCACGTCGCCGCTCCGGAGAGTCTGATACACCAGAAAACCTATCAATGCGAAGATCACCAAGTGGTGGTTTGAAAGCAGTTCGACTATCCCGGCCACGATCACCACCTAAACAGGAACAAGTTGAAGAACAGGAAACAGAGGCGCCACCTCCGCCTAGGATGTTCCCAACACACCAAGACATGTTCCCGCCAGTACCACCAGCAGTTTCCGCTCTTTCGTTGACTCCACCCCACAGTAAGTACTCTTCAATTATAAGTGTTATATTTTGTCAAAATCTATTTATAATAATAATCAAGTAGGCACATTATGACTTAATCATCAGATGTCTTGTTCATTTTAAATTTGATTGCTCATTTCATAAGCATTAATTACTTCGTTCAACTAACCAAGAAAATCCAAATCATAAGTCGCATTAATTAAATAATATTTAACATGAATCAAAACATAAAAAAAGTAAATCCAATCGTTTGTCAACAACTTTGAATCCGATCTACCCTCAAATAAAAAAGAGGTCGATCAAATCAATGCCGTTTTGGACGGATAATTATCGGATAAATAGGTAATTGCAAAAAAAAAATACGAAAAAAAATCCTCGTCCACTCATTGTCACTGCGTCTGATACAGACCGAATTCAATAAGTGCTAAAATATATAATTTATAATGCAGAACGTAATGCGGTGGATGTTAAATCTGAAACGTAACTTAATCGAGACAATTTATAATTTTATATCTTCCAAGAAACGCGCCGATCTGTTTTTCTCGGTCTTACTACTCGGTCTAACGTGATTCCATTAAAGAGGCTTGTTACACAATGAACCAGATAGGTTTTCGAGATCTACATTACACACATGTGTAAAATTAATTAAAAACCGAATCATCAAAGGATCCGTAGTATCGTTATCGGCATCATAAATCGGCGTACATGCAACCGGTGATTCGATTAGCCGTCGATACTCGGCGCTCGACGGCACATTTCACAGATAAATTAAGATCACCTATTCATACGTCGGGTGCATTATCTCTGTGATCGCGCGAACCGCTCTTACATTATGAAGTCCATTAAGCGAACGTGTCGCAAACATTTCGATTTGAAATATCTTTTTAAACCGCATCGCTTCGGTTCATTCTCCGTACTAAATATAAATAGCATTCGTCAACTTAAGTTTGATATTTGACTTCAAGAATTACAACTATTACTTTTTATTAATGAATATTATCTATATTTCCATGAAAAAAGAAAGAGGAAGCAATTCCCGTAGCATTCTTGTTTTATGACAACATAATTTCAAAACGTATTTTTGTTATAAATATTGTCGTCGCTTAAGGCATATGAAATGCATTGTAAATACAGACGCTTAGAAGGTTTATAGCCATAATTATCAGAGAACATGCTAATATACATATCGACTAAACAATAAAGAGAGAATAAGTTCAGAATAACCAAGGACTAGTCTGTTTTATGAATTATTACAGTTGGCAGTCGATCAATTACACAACAGTACCTGCACGTTCAGAAATTACGATTTAATGCATATTATACAACAGGCCTAAGGCCTCGGTCGGAATTAGTCCAAGGAGTGGTTTTATACGTCAATTTTGTTTTATTGTTTCCTCAGTTTCGCGTATGTGCTGAGTGCTTGATTGCGCCATAATAGTCCCAAGTTGTAATGAAGGGTTGCACGCACTCTGGTCTCGGCGTCGACGTGCGTGGGGAAACTAAACACGGGAGGGGAGTTTCGGAACGCTTCCGCACTTGTCATTTCGCTGCGAAATCAAACTTCAATTCGTCCCACTTTTGAATGTTTACGTTCGTTCTAATTTGGAATTATGTTCTGTCGAATAAAACAAACTGGCCGTTCCCCAAATAAATATTTTTATTATATAAGAACATGTAAAATTAACCTTAACGCACGGTGATTAAGTCGAAATGAAATTCGAACTATAAAACCTTCTCGTGTAATCAAGCTAAGCACTTAAACCAATTTAACGTAACACCATAAGACAGACGTGCAGTGAAAATTGTATCTGTTCTTTTTATTTCCATCTCCGTGTGTGGAACTTGATTATGACTAATGATAGCGTGTAAAAATAATGAAGGGTTGCCAGCCCTTTCTGATTACGGACACAATTGTCAGTTCTACCTTATTTTACGGAACTCGTTACTTGGACTAACAATTTATTTTTATTTATTTCACTGTAAACACTGGTAGTTATTATATCCTTTGACATTATCATAATATTTAATTACTTGTCACAAGCGAACTTGGTCATTTATATATCTGCTATTTCAATTAGGTATATGGTAAAATTTATTTTCAATGAATGTATTTTTTTTTTCTCTCAATAAATCCAAAGATGCATTGGATACGGATCAATCTCATTAGTGTTTAAACGTAAATCAAATAACAAAGGTGATGATGGTTCTCAACCTTCTAATTGGTCCGAAAATACAATTCTAACGTGAATCTTGAACTAATGGAATTCCGTGATTTTTTTATATGAAAGACGAGCGACACTTGTTCATGTAACTTTCGCCCTCCTGTTTCCTACATCATGCAATGAACTAAGGGCTCTCTCCCATAGACACAGCCCACCGAGTTTCTCGCCGGATCATCTCAGTGAGTCGCGATTCCGATCCGGTGGTAGATTTTGCGAAGCACTCTGCTCTTTACTGGTGGTAGGACCTCCTGTGAGTCCGCGCGGCTGGGTACCACCACCCTGCCTATTTCTGCTGTGAAGCAGTAATGCGTTTCGGTTTGAAGGGTGGGGCAGCCGTTGTAACTATACTTGAGACCTTAGAACTTGTATCTCAAGGTGGGTGGCGCATATGCGTGATGTCTATGGGCTCCAGTAAGCACTTAACACCAGGTGGGCTGTGAGCTCGTCCACGCATCTAAGCAATAAAAAATAAAACTTGCTAGGGCTAGTGTTAGCAAATTCTCTCAGGTTCAGCCCGTTAGCTCACCACCAGTTCGGGTGTAGCTAGAATAGCCTCTTAGGTTACCAACGAATAAGCAAAAAAAGGGCTCTTTGAAAACTTAAAACTCCTTACATAATTACAGATTGTTATATTGCTAAATATTGACCTCTACATTGTACAACAATACGGACAGTGAAAGTATCTATCAGTAACACGCCGTAATACACAAGAGTCATGTTCATATAATACTTACTTGTGAGCGTAATTAGATTTTTTGGCTCAATCGAATATAAGATATACCAACATCTTATATTCGATTCAAATAGAACTAAAAATTTAATTGAAATATATCGTAATTGCAATATTTAAAACACGTACTGAATAATAAAGAAAAATAAAGAATTGCATACTTTACGAGTGTGGCGGTTGCTAGAGCAAGCTTTTTTTATTGCTTAGACGGGTGGACGAGCCCACGGCCCACCTAGCGTTAAGTGATTACCGAATTAATCAACAACGTTAATGCCGTCACCTCTCAGTTTTGTACAACGGCTGGCCTGTTCTTTAAACCGAAACGCAATACTGCTTCACAGCAAAAATACGTAGGGTGGTGGTACCTACCGGTGTGGACTCAAAACACGCCCCACCAACAGTAGAAAGATTACTGGACGAGAATGAACATCATGAACAATGATTACCCGCTCCAAGATATCTACAGTCTTCCCCAAATGCTGTTGCAGGATGTTCGCGATATTTATAGTTGAGGAGTAGATAGAGAACAGAAAATGACGCAGAAGAACTCACAAAAAACCAATTGCTTTCTAATCTCTAAAATGACAGAAGAGGAAGAAGCTATTCTCATATTCAAAATTATTTAAAAGAAACCATATTGATTCAAGTCAACAAGAATAGAGCAAATACGATTTAGAAAAAATTATCGCACGAATGAGAACGAGATTTGTCGATTATTTTTCTTCGGCCCATTGATACAACGCCGTAGATACTCCTTACTGATAATAACTCATCACATTACTACTAACAAATCCAATGATAAAATACAATATAGTTCTCAAATAACAATGTAGTTGCCGTGTTGTTTACATTAATCTGTCGATGAGCACGCGAGGTCTCTCGTCCAACCTTCAAGGGTAGCAAAAAAAATCATAAGAAAAAAAGCCCGCGCAAATGACGACATTGGCACCGAACGCTAGATACTCTGCGCACACGCAAGGGCGACTACAGTGCCCATGATTCACTTAATTAACGGACATTCTAGTTTCAAGTGTAATCTGTGAAAATGATTTTTTATCGTTCGTCGAGTATTTATGGGGCTCAATTCTTATTCTGAAGCCAGTAGTACCCTTGATTGGGACCCTTGAATCTGGAACAAGTTCGATCAAGTAGAACTGTGAGCACTCGTTAGCAAGTTTCTTTATTGAGCATACAACTCTCGGGAAAACTATAATTAACATTTCCACTTGAGGGCTCTCTAGAAAATGATCATGGGAACAGTTAATAAAATTAAATTATCTGTGATTTGTAAAAATAAATAAATCAGTAAAACAAATTAAAGGCATTTGAACCCCTTCCTGCGGGCTTACCGAGGATAAGTAGATTACAGTATAATACATATAGGTAGTTTACAAACATATTCTAGGCAGTCATTGGAACGTAACGTTATAAAAAAGTATAAAAATAGTTGGCTCTAAAACAAACTGAAATTTTTTTACGACGAGGATTCGGCTCACACAAAAGTTGGAGAATATTAAATCTGAGAAAATCAGTATGTCATCAGCACAATCTTATCACACAAAAGGATAAAAAAATAAGCTCCGAAATGAGAATTTCCTTTTTCAGCTGAAGTCTGATAGTAAGAAACTCCGCGGCCATCCCAAACGGATAGCAAATGACTCAAACACTCGTCTAACCGCCAATTAAAGAGCAAAAATCATTACATCGCTTTACCGTACACAATGATTCACTGAAATACATTGAATAACATGTATAATACTAATTAAATTGATCTCGTAAGTAATAATAATAATTGTTTTAGTCATGAATGGATTTACTCTTATATCAGTATGAATAATTACGGTAAAGCGATGTTCAGTGACTGTTTTACGAAGAAGTTATTGAGATTCTCTTAAATTGAGCATTGGACATTAACATGTATGTCAGGTCCGTAAGTTCAAAGTCACTCAGCGTGCTATGGAAAGGGTTATACTCGGAGTTTCTTTAATAAATCGAGTCTGAAATTAGAAAATCCGTCGAGAACCAAAGTAAGTGACATAGCCCTAAAGATTAGCAAACTGAAATA